GGTAATATGGTATGATGGTATGTCTACTCTAACTTCGTAAGAACTAGAAAATCACTTTTCAAAGTACCTGTATTATTTTTCATTACTACCAATAATGTATGAGAGTTCTCTTAGTTTGGCATCTGTATCAACAATTAATATTGACAGGTTTATTAACTTTTTTTTTCATTGTCACAGGTTTGTGTTTCTGTGTGGCTTTAATTCACATTTTCCCAATGGTGAATTATATGCCATATATTCATCTTTCTTGGTAAAGTCTAGAATTTTGCTCTTTTTTGTGTGTTCTTAATGTTGAGTTTTAAAAGCTCTTCATATATTCTGAATACAACTTCTTTTTAAGATATATGATTAGTAAACATTCCCAGTCTTTGGATTGTATTTTCGTTCTCTTTTTGTTTTATTGATACATGCTTGTACATATTTATGGGATATGTGTGATATTATGTTATATGCATAGAGTGTGTAATGATCAGGTTAGGATATTTTAATTATCCATTTCCCGAAGTGTTCATGATTTCTATGTGTTGGGAACTTTTAACTCCTCTCTTTTAGCTGTCTTGAAATATATAATACTTTGTTATTAACCCTAATCACCCTACATACTATTGATCATTAGAACTTATACCTTCTCTCTAACTATATGTTTCTAGCCATTAAACTCTCTTTATTGTTTCCTCCTGTGCACCACACACTTCTCTGATAGCTATCATTCTACTCTCTGTCTCCATGAGATCAACTTTTTTAGCTCTTACATGAGTGAGAACATGCACTGTGAGAACATGCACAAGTGTGTACCTAACTTATTTCACTTAATGCAGTAACTTCCAGTTCCATCCATGTTTCTACAAATGACATCATTTTATTCTTTCTTATGTATTCTATATGCATACCACATTTTCTTATGGTCAAATATTTCATTGTGTATATTATATTTTCTTTATCCATTCATCCATTGATAGACACTTAGGTTGATTCCTTATCTTTGCTATTATGGATAATGCTGCAACAAACATGCAATACAATTACTCTTTAGATATATTGATTCCTTTTCTGTGAATAAATTCCCAGTAGTACAAATACTGTCTTGTATGGTAGTTCCATTTGTAGTATTTTGAGAAATGTCCATACTGTTTTCTATGTAGGTTGTACAAATTTGCATTCTTAGCAACAGTGTATAAGAATTCCATTTTCCCTACAGCCTCATCAGCTTCTGTTATTTTTTTGTCATTTTACTAATAGCCATTCTAACCCGAGTGAGAGGATATCTAATTGTGGTTTTAATTTGCATTTCCCTGAAGATTAGTGAAATTGAGCACTTTTAAATTTGGCCATTTGTATGCCTTCTTTTTAGAAATGTTTATGTCCTTTGCCCACTTTTTAATGGGCTTTTTTTTTTTACGTTGAATTGTTTGATTTCCATGTGTATTCTGGATTATTAGTACTTTGTGGGATAAATAGTTTATAAATATTTTCTCACATTAAATAGTTTGTCTCTTCATTCTGTTGATTGTTTTCTTTGCTATGCAAGAGCTGTTTAGTTTAATGTAGTCCCATTTGTCTGTTTTTTGTTTTTGTTTTCTCAAAAGGCTTTAACCATAAAAATCTTTGCCTAGACCAGTGTCCTAAAGTGTTTCCCCTATGTTTGATTGTAGTAGCTTTGTCATTTCACGTCTTACATTTAAGTCTTTAATCTATCTTGAGTTGATTTTGGTAGATGATGAGTATTGGGGCTCCAGTTTTATTCTCCTGTGTATAGATATTTAGTTTTTCCAGAATTATTTATTGAAGAGGGTGTTCTTTCCCCATGTATATTCTTGGTGCCTTTGTTGAAAATCAGTTGATTGTAAATATGTGGATTTATTTCTGGGTTCTCTATTCTCTATTCTGTTCCATTAGTCTATATGTAATTCATTCATTTATTCATTTATTTTGAGATGGAGTTTCACTATTGTTTCCCATGCTGGAGTACAATGACTCGATCTTGGCTCACTGCAACCTCTGCTTCCTGGGTACAAGCGATTCTCCAGCCTCAGCCTCCTGAGTAGCTGAGATTACAGGCACCCACCACCACACTCAGCTAATTTTTTTTTTTTTTTTTTTGCATTTTTAGTAGAGATGGGATTTCACGATGTTGGCCATGCTGGTTTGGTCTTGAACTCCTGACCCCAAATGATCCCCCGACCTCGGCCTCCCAAACTGCTGGGATTACAGGCATGAGCCACCCAACCTGGCCTTATATATCTTTTGTTTTTAGCATGATACGTCCAGCTTTGTTCTTTTTGCTCACATTGCTTTGGCTATTTGAGCTCTTTTTTGTTTCCATATGAATTTAGTAGTTGTTTTTTTTTCTTTTCTCTTTTTGTGAGGAATGTCATTGGTATTTTAATAGGGATTGCATCGAATCTGTAGATTTGCTTTGGGCAGTGTGGTCATTTAATTCTTCCAATCTGTGAGCGTGGAATGTCTTTTCATTTGTTTGTGTCCTCTTCAGTTTGTTTTATTAATGCTTTATACTTTTCTTTGTAGAGGTCTTTCACCTCTTCGGTTTAATTTATTCCTAGGTATTTTTCTTATAGCTGTTGTAAATGAGTTTGCCTTTTTGATTACTTTCTCAGCTCGTGTATTGTTGGAATATAGAAACACTACTGATTTTTCTATGTTTACTTTATATACTGTAACTCTATTGAATTTATAAGATCTACAAGTTTTTTGGTGGAGTCTTTAGGTTTTTCTAGATACAAGATTACATCATCTGCAAAGAGACAGTTTGCCTTATTTTCCAATTTGGATGTGTTTTTATTTTGTTCTCTTGACTGATTTTTCTGAAAAGGACATTCTGTACTATGCTGAATAGGAGTGATGAAAGTGGGTGTCCTTGTCTTGTTCCAGTTTTTAGAGGAAAAGCTTTCAACTTTTCTCTGTTCACTGTGAGGTTTGTTGTGAGTTTGTCACGTATGTCCTTTATCACGTTGAGGTATGTTTTTGCAATGCCTAGTTTGTTGAGTGTTTTATCAGGCAGGGTTGTTGAATTTTATCAAATGCTTTTACTGCATCTACTGAGATGATAATATGGTTTTTGTTTTTCGTTCCATTGATGTGCTGTATTACACTGATTGATTTGCATGTGTTGAACTATCCTTGCATTTCTAGGTAAGTCCTACTTCATTATGATGTATTATCTTTTTGATATGCTGTTGAATGTTTTGTTGAGGAATTTTGCATCCATGTTTGTCAGGAATATTGGTCCTAAGTTTTCTTTTTTTGTTGCAATCTTGTCTGATTTTGATATCAAGGTAATTCTAGCCTTGTAAAATGAGTTAGAGAGAATTCCCTCCTCTTCATTTTTTTGGGAATAGTTTGAGAATAAATTGTGTTAGTTTTTCTTTGAACGTTTGGTAGAGTTCAGTAGTAAAACATATGGTCCTGGACTTTTCTTTTTTGGGAGACTTTTTATTACTATTTGTTCTCATTACTCACAACTGGTCTATTCAGTTTTTTTTATTTCTTTCTGATTCAATCTTGGTAGATTGTATTTGTCCAGGAATTTATTTACTTCCTCTAAGTTTTCCAGCTTGTACAGTGGTTCATGATAGTCTGTTATGATCCTTTGTATTACTGCAGTAGTTTTAATGATTCCTTTATTATTACTAACATATATATATATAATTACACATCTATATATCACTAACATAGACACACACACACACACATATGCACATATATATGTATATTTTGAGATGGAGTCTCACTTTGTTTTCCAGGCCAGAGTGCAGTGATGCGATCTTGGCTCATTGCAACCTCCGCAGTGATCCACCCGTTTTGCCCTCCCAAAGTGTTGGGATTACAGGCGTGAGCTACCACGCCCAGCAATCATTACTGATTTTATCTGTCTTCTGGGTTTGTGTGTGTGTATGTGTGTGCTTAGTCTGGCCAGCTGTTTATCAATTTGTTTATCTTTTCAAAAAAATTACCTTTTATTTTGTGGATTTTTTTAACCTGTATTTCATGTAATTCTGCTCTTTTTATTCCTTCTAATTTGGAATTTGGTTTGTTCTTTTGTTCATTGAGATGCATCCTTAGAATATTTGAAGTCATTCTACTTTTTTGATGCAGTCATTTATCACTGTATCATTTCCTTTTAGCCTTGCTTTTTCTGTTTTGCATAGGTTTTGGTATGTTGTATTTGATTTTAATTTGCTTTAAGATAGTTCTTTATTTTTTCATAATTTCTTCCTTAACTCAGCGCTCATTCAGAAGCTTAGCTTTAGTTTCCACGTATTTGTACATTTTCTCAAGTTCTTCTCTTTATTGATTTCATACATGATACAACTTTTTTTTTTTTTTGGTCAAAATTTGTTGAGTATTGTCTTGTGACCTAACATATGGTCTATACTGGAAAATGTTTCATGTGCTGATAAAAAGAAAGTGTGTACTCTGCAGCTCTTAGATGAAATGTTCTATAAACGTCTGTTTGGTCCATTTGATGTCATGTATAGTTTAAATCTTCCTTTGGTAATATTCTGGCTAGATGATCTGTCTAATGCTGAGAGTGGAGTGTTAAAGTCCCCAACTATTATTTTATTGGAATCTATCTTTCCCTTTAGATCTAATATTTGCTTTATATGTCTGGATAATTCAGTGTTGAGTGTATATTTGTTTAGAATTGTTATATTCTCTTGCTGAATTGATTCTTTTATCATTATATAATGACCTTCTTTGTCTTTTTTTAAAACTGTTTTGACTTAAATTCTGCTTTAGCTGATATAAGTATAGCTACTCCTGCTTACTTTTAGTTATCGTTTGCATGGAATGTCTTTCTTTTTTTCTTTCTTTGGAGATAGAGTCTCACTGTATCACTCAGGCTGGAGTGCAGTGGCAGAATCACAGCTCACTGCAAAATCCACCTCCTGGGCTTGAGCGGTCCTTTCACCTCAGCTTCCTGAGTAGCTGAGACTACAGGCTCGTGCACCATGCCTGACTAATTTGTGTATTTTTTGTAGAGATGGGGTTTCACCATGTTGGCCAGCCTGGTCACAAACTCCTGAGTTCAAGTGATCTGCCTGCCTCGGGCCTGCAGAGTGCTGAGATTACAGGTGCGAGCCACTGTGCCCAGCCAGAATGTCTTTCTCCATCCCTTTACTTTCAGTTTATATGTGTCTTCACAGGTAAGTTGTGTTTTGTAGTCAGCAAATAGTTGGGCCATGTTTTAAGATCCATTCAGCAAGTCTTTGTCTTTTTTTTTTCTTCCACGGTCGCCCCGGCTGTAGTGCAGTGGTGCCATCTTGGCTCACTGCAATCTCCGCCTCCTGGGTTCAAGCAATTCTCCTGCCTCAGCCTACCAAGTATCTGAGACTACAGGTGTGTGCTGCCACACCCAGCTATTTTTTATTTTTAATAGAGATGGAGTTTCACCATGTTGGCCAGGATGGTCTCGAATTCCTGACCTCGTGATCCACCCGCTTTGGCTTCCCAAAGTGCTGGGATTACAGGCGTGAGCCCCAGGCGTGACCAAGTCTATGTCTTTTATTGAAAGTTTAATTCATTCGTATTTAAGGTTATTATTGATATATGAGGGCTTATTTCTATCATTTTATTTATTGGTTCTTACTGCATTAATAGCTTTTTTAATTTTTTTCTTTTTCTCTTATTATTTATCATTATGTTTTGGTTGTTTTCTATAGTGGTAACATTTGAATTCTTTCTTTTCCTAATTTGTGTGTTTCCTCTAACAGTGAGTTTTATACTTTGGTGCTTTTACCAAAGATAGATATCTTCCCTTTGCTTCCAGGTTTAGGACTCCCTTAAGCAGTTTTCTTATATCTGGTCTGGTGGTAATTAATTCTCTGTTTTTGCTTGTCTGCGAAAGACTTCATTTCTTTTTTTTTTTAATTTTAAAAAAAGAAAAAATATATAAATAAATAAATAAGATAAAAAATAAAATAAAATAAAATAAAAAGACAGGGTCTCACTTTGTCACCTAGACTGGAGTGCAGTGACACAACCACAGCTCACTGCAGCCTCAAACTCCTGGGCTCAAGGGATCCTCCTCCCTCAGCCTGGTGATGTGTACCACCATGTCCAGTTATGCTTGGTTGGTTGGGAGTTTTTGGTAGAGGTGAAGCCTCATTATATTGCCCTGGCTGGTCCTGAACTCTTGGCCTCAAGCAATTCTCCCACCTTAGGATTACAGGGAATAGCCACCATGCCCAGCCTACATGAACATTTTTATTGGCTCACAATATGTAGTACATTCCAAAAAGTTTGTAAGTACAATTGGCCCTGAACAACACAGAGGTTGGGGTGCCAATCCTTTGCACAGCTATAAACCTGTGTAAATTTTTGTTTTTTTTGCTTTTTTTTTTTGGGCAAACAACATAAAATAAAAAGATGGAAAATACATATGAGAAAGAATGGAAAGCTCTGAGAGCACCAGCTCCCTCTGGTGCTATTTCAAACTACAAGATGCTATATTACACACAAAATACTAGCAGGACAGCACCCTGCTGAGGACAGCACCATGCTCAGAGTGCCTGTAAGCTATTATCATCATTATTACTAAACTATGATTAATTCTGAAAGACTTCATTTCTTCTTCACTTATGAAGGAAAACTTTTTTAGGTATAGCGTCCTTGGCTGGCAATTTTCTCTTTCAGCACTTTGAATATATTATCCCATTTTGCCTTGGCTTATAAAATTCTGTTGAGAAATGTGCTATTAGTTTGATAGAAGTTACCTTCTAAGTGACTGGATATTGTCCTTGTGCTGTTTTGGAGTTCTTTCTTTGACTTCTGACAGTTTGACTCTGATATGTGGTAGAGAAGATATTTTTACATTTATTTGGGGATTTCTGTATCTGGATGACTAAATCTCTTTCTAGATGTAGAAAGTGTTATTAATTCATTAAATAGGGTTTCTAACCTTTTTGTTTTCTCTTTGCCTTCTCAGACACCACAAATTCAAGTATTTTATAGCTTTATGGTGTTCCATATGTCGCATAGCCCTTGCTTATTGTTTTCCTTTATTTTTGTCTGATTGGGCTATTTCAAAAGACCTGTCTTTGTGTTCTGAAATTCATTGTTCTGCTCCATCTAGCTTATTATTGAAGCTTTTGAATGCATTTTTGTCTTTCATTCAGTGACATCTTCAGTTCCAAGATTTCTGATTGGTTCTTTTTTTATAGATCTTTTTGGTAAATTTCTCATTCATATCCTGAATTGTTTTTCTGATTTCTTTTTATTGCTTTTTTGTATTTCCTTGTATCTTACTGAGCTTCTTTAAAATGAATACTTTAAATTCTTTTTCTGGCAATTTCTAAATTTGTCTTTGATTGGATTCTGTTGCTGGAGAGTTATTGTGCTTCTTTGAAATGTCATTTTTTTTTAATGTTTCTTCTATCTTTACACTGATATCTGGGTATCTTGTGTGACAATCAGTTGTTCCAATTATTTGAATTTGCTATCATAATGGATGATTTTTTTCTTAAAATGTATCTATGGTGTTGGTTGATTAGGATACTTTGGCTTTGATTCTGAATGTGTGCAGTCATGTTATCTCTGTATGATTTCTTCAGCTGTAAACCACATTAGTGGTATCAGTGGCTTAGAGTACAGTTGTTAGTGGAGGCTGGGGACAGGGATACCAGGTAGGCTGTTCCTTGGACTGTAGTGTTGGTAGCGCAGGCACAGTGTGTCTATCTTTAGGTTCCAGGGAGGTGTATGCTGGCATTGGTGTTGGGTAGTCTAGGTGGCTTATTTGTGTGCCTATAGTGGCACCAGTGGGTCAGGCCAGTGGATGGGTTCTCGGGACTCTGAACAGTGGGTATGGTATGGGCTATGTTAGTAGCAGTGGTAAGACTAACCTTAGAGTTCCAAGTAGTTCATGATTGTGTTGGTGGTAGCTATGACAGGCTAGGCAGGGCAGTACCCAGGCCTACAGGTGACATGTGTGAAGCTCACCACTGTGTTCATAGCAGCAGTTGGATGGGTCCATTCTGAGCCTTCCAGGAGGAGTGCTTAGGTGACAGCGGTGATGGACTAGTGCTTAGAAATCCCCTGGCCCCTGGATGGCATGCTTAGGCTTTTGCTAGGGAGTGTGCCAGGCCAGGTGGACCTGTCCTCTTCCTTCACCTGTGGTACATGTAGACCTTGACTCTGGTAGGCAGGGGTGGAGTTATTTCTAGGTTCTACAGTGGAATGCTCAAATAGGGGCCGCAGTGGCTGCACGACAGCCCTATACTAGAGAGGGTGAAGTTGCTTTTATTGGCTCTAGCCATAGATAAATTATTGTGATTGCATGCTTCGCTCGTGCTTTCGCCTCAGTGGCAGCAGCCTGCTGTGGGGCTGCCATGGGTAGGGAAATGTATCCTCAGGACTTGGGGAAATGTGCCATGGCTTTGCTGTTTGGGGCAATGGGGTTGCTGCTAATGGCTTGCATTTTTGCCCACGTGGCATTAGCCAGATGCAGCAGTTGCTGTAGGCAGGTGACGTCATTGGGGGGTCTAGTGTGTGGAGATGTGGAGACTGTTGGCCCCAGGGGACAGAAGCCAGTTCTGTAGAAGCTGGGCTGTCAAAATGACACATTACTGTAGCTGCTTGGGACTCAGGAGTTGTTTGTAGCTCAGCATAGCTCCTTCTCTAGAACCCTGGCATTGCACAGTATTCAGTAATCTTCCTACTTTATTCTCAAGGCCCATGGAGTTTGAGGAACTCTTGGATGGCTAGGATTACAGGAGTCTGTGGTGGTAATTTAGGTGGCTGGTCTTCCAGCTGGCCTTTCACTTATCCTTTTCCCACAGTGGGGAGCCTCTCCAGGCTCCCAGCTGCTCTCAGCTAAGCAGGCTGCCTCCTTTCCCTTTTCTTCCTTGCTTTGGGTGTTTCCTGTCACTTTTCTGTTAAACTAGAGTATTCTCTCTTTGATGATCTGTTTCAAGTGTGATTACCTACTTGCATTTTGGCTCCTCTTTGTAGATGAGATGAGTACCAAATACCTCTAGGCAGCCATGTTAAAACTCCTCCCCCTCATTTTGAATTAAATGTCGTGTATGGTGTGAGATACAGGTTGAGGTTCGTTTTTGTCATTTTGATGTCCTCTTATACTAACAACATTTGTGAAGAAGACTGTCTTTTCTTCTTTGAATTGTTTTTTCACACATGTCAACCATGAATTGAGCATATTTGGGCAGTTATTTTGAGTTCTTTGTTTCCCAGATCTATGTGTTTACTAATATCATACTTTCTTTTTCTGTTTTTTTGTTTTTTGAGACGGAGTTTTACTCTTGTTACCCAGGCTGGAGTGCAATGGCTTGATCTCGGCTCACCGCAACCTCTGCCTCCTAGGTTCAGGCAATTCTCCTGCCTCAGCCTCCTGAGTAGCTGGGACAACAGGTGTGCGCCACTATGCCCGGCTAATTTTTGTATTTTTTTTTTTTTTGAGATGGAGTTTTGCCCTTGTTACCCAGGCTTGAGTGCAATGGCGCGATCTTGGCTCACCGTTCCTCTGCCTCCTGGGTTCAGGCAATTCTCCTGCCTCAGCCTCCTGAGTAGCTGGGATTATAGGCACGCGCCACCATGCCCAGCTAGTTTTTTGTATTTTTAGTAGAGATGGGATTTCACCATGTTGACCAGGATGGTCTCGATCTCTTGACCTCGTGATCCACCCGCCTCGGCATCCCAAAGTGCTGGGATTACAGGCTTGAGCCACCGCGCCCGGCCCTAATTTTTGTATTTTTAGTAGAGATGGGGTTTCACCATGTTGACCAGGATGGTCTTGATCTCTTGACCTTGTGATCCACCAGCCTCGGCCTCCCAGAGTGCTGGGATTATAGGTGTGAGCTACTGTGCCCGGCCAACTTTCTAAATTACAGTAACTGTATAGTAAGTTGACATTGAACAGAGTGAGTCCGCCTCCTTTATTCTTTCAGAAAATTGTTTAGCTATTCTAGGTCATTTGCCTTTATGTATACATTTTAGAACATACTTGTCTGTATCTACAAAAATTTTACTGTTTTTTTGATAGGGATTTCATTTAAACTTTTAGATAAATTTGGGGAGAATTGGTATCTACTGTATTGAGTCTTCTAATCCATGCACCTGATATATCTATTTAAACCTTTCTTAATTTCTTTCATTAGCACTTTGTAATTTTCAGCATGTAAGTCCTATATGT